GTCTGATGTCCAACTAAAAGGATTAATGTACATTAAGGGGAATGGGTGGGGAATTAAAATACTACATTTGTTATTTTATAAACTGATTCCATGTGCCAGAAATAAACTTTAGATCTTCTTTTATATTTGGTGATTGAATTAAATATTGTTTTATAAATAAATTTCCTATTATTTTTCTTTTTATCGTACTTTTTTCGTTAGATAATATGTTTACATCTCGTACTACTATTACACAGTTTCTATTATATTTTATTAAATTTCTATGCTGGTTTATTCTTTTTTTAATAAATGAGTGGCTCGCCTATTTAATTTTTTTTTTGCACATATACTGGTCAAATTTTTTTTTTTTTAAATAATGAAAATATAATTTATGTTGTGAAATACTGAGAATCTTCAACTTAACGACATTGCGTTGTCTAACAAATTTATATAACCACACCAAAAAACTTGTAAACATACATTACGTGAAATTCTTAATGCCGGATTAAAATTAACATATTCTGACGTATATCGAGTTTTTTTAAATTAATTTTTCATTCTGTACAACGAAAACATGGTAGAAGATCATTAGTGTTACGCGAGTGCTTACTTAAGAGATTTCTATGGAGTCGGAAGTTCTTGCATATAAGCGTAGTGCAGCTATATATTTTTTTATTTAATACTGCGTTCTACTTACTATTTTTAGAATTACGCGTACATGATACTGTCGATCTATAAAAAATGTCAAATCTAATCTAATGCTGATTTTATTATCATTTAGTGACCGGTGAATTATTTCTTTTTTTTTTTTCCTCACTTGCGATATTTTCCGAGTTCACTATCACAGAAGATCGAAAAAAATTGCGACCTTTGTTATACCAGACTTGAGACTTCTTTTTTATCGTAACTCCTTTTTATATGATGTGATATCACAATCACATGTGATCAATGTTTGATCTTCCATATAAATTTATAGTTGCGACCTCTTCGGAACCTTCAATCTTTTTTCCGTCTTTCTACTCACAGTCAGGTAATATATGGTTATTTTATTTTAAAGGAAAAATTTTATTTTATTTTTTTACGCATTTGAAGTAAGGATTAATTGTTGTAAATTAGAAAGGATGAATGTCAATATAATCACACCAATATTTATATCACTTTTTATAATAAAATTATTAGGTTATTGGGTTAATTATAATTTTTTTTTCATCGTCCACATTTGTTGTTAAGAATTACCCGAGCCGAATAATTAAACAATAACAATATGTCCTAGTTTTAAATTATAGCGCAGGTACTTCAGCTACTAAATATCAAGAAAAAATTTAATACTTTTATCCATACATTTTTCCATTAATTAAGTTTGAATAAGTCTATCTCTTCCAACATCTAAATCCCAAATTCGCTGCTGTTTCAATGCACCACTCAGCAGAGATTTCCACTGATAATATTAAATCAGTATAATATCCATTTATTTCAAAGGTATTCTCATTTTCTTAGGTTAATATTTGAAATAATTTCTGAAATTTGTTAAAATAATTTGTGTAAAAGTCCGTTTTTAAATGGGAATATCTAAACAGAAACAATATTTCTACCTTTCTATTACCTCCTTTGTGAACTATTGATTGCTTAAATTTGAAAAAAAACATACCGTATTTTACAGAAGAGGATGATTGAGCTTTATTATTATTATTATTATTATTATTATTATTATATCTTTATTATTATCGCTTATGCGGATTTAAAGCTGAAGGTGGGAGACAAGTCCAACCACCTGCAGTTATAATTTTTTTTTTAGATATTTAAGAATTTTCTGGTAATTCTGGCTGTATCCAAGGGAACTGCTTGCTAAGTCTCTCTCAACACGTCAAAGGGTAATTTCAAGCTTTCTGTACCTGCTACCGTTGATTTTGGGATCAGACCATTTGTTGATATTATGTAATATATTGTATATATTATGGTGTGACCAATGCGCTTTCTAAATGGTACAATTCCTTTATTTCGATCGCCAATTCTTGGTACTTACGGAGCTTCTCTCCTACGGTTGTGCTTATATTGTTATCATTTGGAATCGCGATAATTATTAGTTTTGCCTTCATTGTTCTTAAATCTATAATAAGGATATCGAGTCTGTTGTGACGCACTATAATAAGGATATCGGGTCTGTTGTGACGCACTATAATAAGGATATCGGGTCTGTTGTGACGCACTGTAAGATCTGTTATAATAGATTTGTCCCACGGGCGGATCTACGGGAGGGGGCTTTCTGGCTGAAGTCTCCCCCCTCCCCCAAAATGGTAAAATATAACCATGTTTTATCGAAAAAAGTTATCTCTTAAAGTATTATTGTTCGTGTAATTACATTTAAAAGGGCTTTAGGAATCACTTAAACACCATTTCATATAGGGAGTTAGTTTCTTTCTTTTTTTCCAAAGTAATTATTGTTATTTTTATGAAAAAAAAAAGCTTTCGGGCTGAAGCCTCCCCCCAAAATTAAATCCTGGATCCTCTAGTGATTTGTCCCAATACATCTTGAGGGAGCCTTTCTGAAGTAGTCTAATCATAGGTTAGGTCATAAACATAGAAAAGGCATTGGCTGTTGATAATCTGATAAAGAAATGTGCTAGGAAATATTATCTACAGAAGGAAGAGAAGAGCCAACCAAACTGAGCGTAGTGGTGGAAGACGTTTGAGCGTCTCGGGGTCCCATTGACAAATCTTTATTCTATTATTATTTATAACATTCTATTAAATTGATCATTTCCGTTTTAACTTAATCCTTTACCGTTAGTCAATGCCCAGGCGTTTAAGGTCTTCAAGCAAATTTGTCTTGAGCGTATTTTGTATTAATTTTTTAGACTGTTGTGTAAAATATCTTTAAACTAAAAAAATTAGATTATGTAAACCATTTTTAAAAAAATATTAAGTTCCTGTATTTTTTTATTATTCAATAATAATATAATCTCTCTAAAAACTGAGCTTCCAAAATTTTTACCCAAATCCTGTTGGAATGAATAACATTATTTGAAAAAAGCTATCATCAACACACCTCTGCTATATTGTGCCCAAGTATGGAGTCTCTGATACATAGAGCTCTTAGAAAAGGTCAACATAAATTTCTATAAAAAGACATATTCACTGAGTAAAACAACTCCAGATTTTTAGAAACAGGGTCTACTCATATTGGTTTCAATATTATGAAGTTTTCATTGAATTGGTTGGTTAAACTTGTGGAAATGGAGGAATTTAGATATCCTAAAATATGTTTTGAAATGCTAAGAAATAAATGTTACCTAGCTAATCCTGCTCTATCGAAATATAATTGGTGTTCTCAGTTAAAAGTATTGTTAGATACTGTTGGGGAAGGATAATTAGAACAAATATTAATAGGATATTAAATAAATATAAACAACATTTGCAGGACGGTGACAGGATAACATTGCATAGCTCATCTTATAGTGAACATTTAAACCTTTTTCTTAATAACGATCAGATCCCCTAGTATTTGTTGATACCGACTAATTTCAAATATACAAAACTATTAATGCAGATCCGACTCTTGGGAAAATATATGATCAAGATTTCTGTTAATAATAAAATTATGAAAATTACTCCACAACTTGAGTGCAAAAAGTGAAACACTAAAGAAAACGAAACACTTCATCATATATTATTTAAATGCTCAATTTACATTGCCATTTTAAGGTTAGGAATTTGCCAGGGTATGGAAAATCTTGATGGGATAGAAATATTTATGAAAAATTATATTTTTTTATCTCAATTATATCAAATTATAAAGAATTGTTAGGGAAATCCAGAATATTGTCCTCTACATATTATGGTAAAAATTCCATATTGCACATGAACATGTAATCTGTCCAATGATTTTTCTTGTTTGTTCTCTTAGGTATGGGGATAATTTTTTAATTTAATTTTAAAACAGTTTAATATTAATATTTTAAAAAAATGTCTATTTATTATTTTATGTGTATTTATTTATGTATATTGTTGACAATTCTAGATTTTATATTAATTTGATAATTGGAACTATTTTATCTGTCTGATTTTTACATAATATGATTTTTAATTTATGCTCTAGAGTGTTGTTATATCTGTTACGTAGTATAAAAAGGAATGAATTTATATTTCCATAAGGATAATAATGTTTATTATTTTGTGATAGACTCCATTTGTATAGTGTTGTTCCCTTAAAACAAATAAAGGTTGAATTGAATTGAATCTCTCACACCCAAGGGTAATAAGTATTACTGCTAAAGATATCCATTCATACAATGTATACATACAAGAGAAAAAACATTAATAATTAGGAACAAAATAAAGCAAAAATGATCAAACAAATATATAAAATAATAATAACAAGAAGAAGTAAATAAAGCATAATGATAAAAGTAAAATAATATATGAGATTCACAAAATAATATTTATAAAATAAGTGGTAATAATGTGCTTAATAGATAACAAAAAGTAAATTAAAGTTGAATACAATTAAAAAATAAAATGAAAAGTCATCTAAATTTCAGTCATAACTATATACAATATTTAAATTCCCCCAAGGGACTTCAAGCCAAGCTTGCTTTGTCCTCCACATGTGAAAGGCAAAGCAAGACTAGGAGATCCCAGAGCTTCTCTTCCAGCCGCATCACTGGAGTTAGAAGCCAGTGAAAACTGAGAGAAGGCACTATAGTCACAGACATCCAGGACTGAGTGGAGAAGCTGGCCATTACCAGAACTCCATTAGCATATTTACAAAACTAGAGGCCATTTATTTTAACTTCTAGGGAAATTTCCTGCACATCTATTTGTTTTACTTATTTATCTATGAAAAAGACAGATAAATAAGGAATTTGAAAATCTTTCAAACTATGATGTGTACTATACTCTATAATTGTATACTTTTTGAGTTATGATCTTTATGTTAATATATAAAGATTATATATAACTTTGAATATACAATTGTTACTTAAAAAACAAAACAAATTTTTTAATTTATTGTATTTTTTCAGACAAGAAAAAGGATATGGAAAACGGCCCTAGTAGTAATGTGAACTTCATAGTGGGCAGTGATGGGGTGGACTCGGAACTTGAAATGCAAAATGAAAGAGATGAGATTGGTGATGAATTTCCTCAAAATGGAGAACTCACCGCCAACAGTTCATACAACAACATCAATAGTATATTTGGCCTTGGGGAGAGAAAAAGAAGGCTCAGGTGAGTGAATTGAAACGTTTTTTATATTTATATTTTCCAATTTTATATTTGCTGACATAGAAAATAGAAAAATTACTTAAATAATGTTTCAGAGAATATTTTTTTGAGGTATTTTTAATTTGAACTAATTGTAATAAATCATTCTCTAGGATGAATTATTAAAATTATATAAATTTTAGAAATGATATTTATAGGCATTTATCTTATCTATTTATTTTAGGCGTATTAAATTTATTTACTGAAATAATAAATAATAAAGTTCTTTGAAATAAAATAAAATCTTGTAAAGGAGTTGATTACTTACTTATCAGTTGTCTATGTTTCATCTGTAATAAATATGATTTTATATTTCATAGCATGTGGTGTTATATCCTATTTTAGTATTTTGGTACATTTTCAGTTTCTTTCAATTCTTGATTATTTTAGCTGAGTATTTATTTTTGTAGCTGTTATGTTTTATTATTTCTTTGAATGCAGATAATACAGAAATAATGTGGTACTTTAAACAATACTTAAATTTTAACTTAATTAACTTAAATTTTCATAAAATGGAGGTGTGTTCGTTTGTTATTAATTGATTTCTGTGATATTAATTTGAGTCATTAATGCCACTAACAATTATTAATTCACAGATATGGTGTTCATGGTTACTTTTTATAAGATATGGTTCATGTTAATTTAGATCATAGCAATTTTGTTTGATAATGCTAATTTCTATTAATGCATAATATAAATGATTGTAATTTGTTCTGTAATTGTTTTGGTTTCTAAATTATGTCAGTTATGTTTGTTGAACTTACCATCACAAATACAATTCATTTTTTAACTATGTTCTATTGTTATTGTATAAATAATGCCGTTTTGTAAATACAATCATTTCCAACCTAAATAACTGATTTTTGAAGAGTTGGTTTGGGATGGCAGTCATGGAAGTACACAGAAATAAATTATATCTATTATATTTTTGCCGTTTCGCCCTAAATTTTGGACTTTCTTCAAGGCTGTTCGTTCAGGGATTAGGACAAGCAACAACATGTTGTTGCTACTCGTCTGAATCCCTTTGAATGAGTAGTCCTGATGGAGGTCTGGAACTTAGGCTGAAATGTTGGTACAAAGAAATATTTTCCATGACTGCAATCGCTTACCAAGTTCTCTTTATTGATTTCTTCTCACAGCCAAAAAATTGTTGAAGAAATTCTCCACCATCATAAATAACTGATGTTTACTAATCATTAATATTTTTATCACCAATCTTTAAAATAGGCGTGGTTTAAGTATGGTGTTTTCTTACATCTGTATTACTTATTTATTTATTTATATATTCCACCCTCCCATGCCACTATGGCAATACGGGTGTTTGCAATAGTGTGTTATTAGGCATGAATGCTTAATAACACACTACTACTAGTTAACTGAGCAAGGACGTACACACAGTTCTTCCTTCTTGTTTATCCTTTTCGGCCTAGCTTCCATAATCAGGAGGTCTTCCTGGTTCTTGTCCTCTTCTTCTGCGGGCACTAATACTGAAGTGAGCAAGAACCACCGACTTCCATCCATTTATGAATTCCTTGAACCGCAGGAAATTTTCCTCACTGACTAACTGAGGAAACTCATTTTCAGTGAGAATATAAATTCCCACGGCTCTTGTCATAGTCGCTCTTAACGTTTCAAATGCGGTGCAGGTCGTGACCATGTGCTCTACAGTTTCCAGAACACTATAGGTTGGGCATAGAGGATCTACATCAATACCCAGACCATGAAGTTTAGCTCGAAATTCTCCTCGCCCAGTGAGGAACTGGGAAATCCAGTAGTCCGGGAGGACCCACTTTGCCTGAAGCTTCGACTGTACCGTGGGAAAGTACTTCCTTTAGGGATAGCTACCCACTGCAGGTTCCATACTTCAATTGTATCCATCTTACATTCCATACTTCAATTGTATGTATCCATCTGGACTATCTTCTTCCATCTATGAAGCTCATCCATAATCCTCACCTGCAAATTGTCCAAAAGTAGAGCCTTTCCTCTTATAAAAATATTTCGACACTTCTTCTAGCTGGAGGAGATCGAGAGGCTCCACCCCCCACTAAGATCTGCACCGTTTCATATGAGTTATCCTGTATGCTCTGGTGACCCGAAGCAGAGCTGTCCTCTGAGTCGACGCTAGCCTTTTTTTTTGTCGTAGTGTGAGGTTCTGGAACCAGAAGGGTGACGCATACCTCAGGATACCCTCCACAATACCTTTATAAATATTGATTGTGACTGGATACCTAAGACTCCAGAATGCGCCCGCCACACGAGTTAGACCGTTCATTGCTAGGGCCACCCTACCTGACAGATATTCCAAGTGAGGTGTCACATTCAGGCCTAAACCTAACCTCACTCCTAGGTAGGTTACCACCTCACTTGGACGTATCCTCTGTCCTTCTATGTCCATATTATGAGGATACATCTGTATTAATTTTAAAACTTGATTTAGTTTATTACTAAAAATAAGCCTATACCTATTACTACTCATAATGTGTCTGGCTTAACTGTCAAGTTTTCCCTAAATTAAGAGTAATCACTTTATAGAGGCTTGTACTCTACTTGGCTCTTCCAACCTTAGGACCAATCCATAGTTGAGATAACATTGTAAATTACTATTTACCATCATCAGGCTCTAATCCAGGATTTTGAAGCCCAGTGCCATATACACTGTGCTTATTATTATAAAAAAAAATTTTAAATTCTTTTCTGTAAATTTTGTTATATAAATATTTAATTGATCTTCCATTTTCACTCTCTCGTGTTCTTATTACATGAACAACTTTAAGACAATGCAATTATTTAATATTTTTAAATAATTGATTTTAGACACAGTTTTATAATTATAACTAAAAACAGGCATTTGTCACTTACAGAGTGTAGCTTACACTGCTAGTTTTTATTACAATTTTAATCAGGTTTAGTTTGAAATCTTCCAGCACTATTCTCCTTATGCTTTGACTTGAAGTTCAATTTGATTTGTATTCATCACAGCATATTATCAGAACATGTGAGGCATTGTTTCTACAATACACTGCAAACATGTATGACAGAAAAACTATTAACAATAGAACAACGCAGATTATTGATAATATCTAGCATAAATGAAAAAAGGGTGGTCAATTATGGTGCTTCCAATGAACAAATTGTTGAATGCTTCTATTTCTCTTTCAGTAAAGTTCTTTTTTCTTATTAGGAATTATTTTGAAACTGGTAGTCCAGTAATGACCACGGTGATAAAGTAAAAGACTGGACGAATGTTTATCAGTATAATCAAGGAGCCATATAATATTATTAAAAAAATTGGTTGTAGCATTAGGTATCTTGATAATTATTGAGAAGAGACATTCTTGAAGATGCTAAGGACCTATAAGGACTGTAGAGCTCTGGAAGATGAAGAAGAGGAAAAAAAATATATATTTACAAAGGCTGTAATATTTCTGGTTCCATAACTAAATATTTCAGATAATTAAGCTTTCCTTCAAATGTTAAGTGTTCTAAAATGACTCACTTATATTTTTGGTTATTGGGTATTCCAGTCCTTCGTGAAAACTATGTGGTAGGCATAATATTATATCTGTTATCCTTCATGAAATACACTTTGATATAATATCAGTTTTCTCTAAGTTTGTTAAGATTATAAAGAAGATCTTCTAAAATCTTGATATAAATGGAATTCTGTTTTGATTTCCATATTTTCTCTCAACATTTTTTTTTTGTATTCATTGAGAATATTAAGTTCACTTGTACTAACCAACTATTCATAGAAAATTTCACTTACATTTATTCTATATTCTTAGTTATTAAGCTATAATATGCTTCAATTATAAGGCTTTAAAAAAAAGGCTCAATGACAAAATATTCTGCAAACAAGCTTATAACTGTACCATTTTTTTTAAATTGAAGAATGGTATATAAAATCTTGTTTTCATTATTAGTGTTATTTAATGTATTTTAACGTCATATAAGTTTTGAAATTCATGATTGTATCATTATAATAAAATTTTCTTCAATTATATTGTGCATATGACCAAATCAGACCAGTTCTAAGCTCACATCACCCAATGTATTACCTGGTTGTTTTATGTCTTGCTTCTAGTTCAGCAGACCCATGTTCCCATCTCAACGTCATGACAGTTATAATTCAGCTTTATCATCATAATGACAACATTCAAATCTTTTAAATTTTGTTGTGATTATTATATATTTAAATCATTTTTTGTATTTTATTGATATCCTTCTGAGGTCAAGTATTTTTTTGGACAATTTGACAATAATATTTAAATTGCACCTTTATATTATTCCTTCTTGCGTTTAATTCTATAACTTCACCTGATTTTTAAATGCATTCTTGTATCTATATGGTTTTTGTTGTTACAATTAACTATTATTTTTCCTTGGATTATTTTGTTATCTACCTTACTTCAGCTGACAGGTAATGTATAAAATAGATTTTAATAGTTTTAGAAAAAAAATCTATCATTTTGATTATGGATAATCTGAAGGAAGTATTACTTTTGTCCAAGAGATGGTAAGATTTTGAAGAAACATATTTTTTGAGTGAAAATTCTCGATTGTATTATACTGGGTAAGGCAGTCAGCTGATGGGATAAGTTTCCTTTCTTGGTATAGCAGCTTTTTGGTCCATTCTTTTTCGCATCTTTTTTGTTATTGAGCTTGTTTTCACTAGGATGTTGTTTTTTTTTTTGTTTGTTTTTTCTTGGAAGATCACTCCATTTTATATTGTTTGTTTTTAAAATAATTAATGTATGTAGGCCGGCAAGATTCAAAAGTTTCTACATTATTTTTTGTATCTCCGACTTGTCTCAGTAATAGCTAATTAAATTTAAATACATTATTAGTCCGTAACATGTTGGAAAAAATTTCCAGATCCAATGCAAATTATCTTTAAATGCTCCGAAACAAATATACTGCTGTTCTCATAACAACTGGTTTTTTTTTTTTTTTTTTACTGT